TTCACATTTCCAACATAAATTTGAAGTGCCTCTATACATCCTAGATAATTTCTCTGGCATCATATACCAACAATACATCAATGATTAAAGTGGTCAGTTGGTTGCCTATCCCTCATGTACAAGAATAGAAAATACAGAATATTCTGTAATTTGTCAGATATTTTAACAAAGATTAAAGGAGCATCTTAAAGAGCATGATTCAAAAAGTTAAAGCTTGATATGTTGCTCCACAGCAGTTGAAAATGTATAAACAGGTTTCCCAAATATCTGTAGAGTCCTATAATAAGTACAACTATTTTCAATTATACTTCCTAGAAAATGTGTTAAGGACCAATACTGCTTGATTTAGAAGTAAGACCAAATTCTAAATAGTTCTGTGATGATTCAACTCTAGGTATTGTTAGGAATTTAACAATATAAAAACATAATAACACGCAATCTATTTAAAGAATATAAAGTCAGGGATCTGAACAAAACCATGATAACTTCTCACTACTAAACCAAAAAGCATTTTTTTATATTGAGCTTTCAACCGATTGGAACAAACAATTGATTTAAATAATGTGGGGAGAGGTTCATTTTTTTGTTTTATTTTCTGTTTCACAGATTTTTGAATGTTTAATACAAGGAAACCTTGAGTAATACCTTGTTAGTAAAAACAAATTTATAAGCTAATTGCATGGGAAATCAGAACAAAGTAATTGATGATGCCTGACCAATTCATTGGTCAAAGTCATTTACTTTTTTGCATTATTGTGTAAAGTGCCAATAATAAATAAAAATTAATTTAGAAACATAGTTCAGAATTGTTATGTTATTTATTAAGTTTGTTTGGTTCACTTTTCAGGTTTGGGAATATCTAGTACAAGCAGTCCTTTGACAACACCTGGTTAGTAAATATAGAATGTAAAACTGCATATTATAGTTTATTAATTAATGAAAATTGCTTGACAAAATTAACCTTTTTTTTTTCCTTCTTTCTTTTGTTTGTTTGATTCACTTACAGGTTTGGGAATATCTAGTACCAGCAGTCCTTTGACAACACCTGGTTAGTAAATATAGAATGTATCACTGCATACTATAATTTAATTAATTAATGAAAATTGCTTGACAAAATTATCCTCCTCCTCCTCCTTCTTCTTCTTTTGTTTGTTTGGTTCACTTTGCAGGTTTGGGAATATCTAGTACAAGCAATCCTTTGACGACACCTGGTTAGTAAATATAGAATGTAAAACTGCATATTATAGTTTATTAATTAATGAAAATTGCTTGACAAAATTATCCTTTTTTTTTCCTTCTTTGTTTTGTTTGTTTGATTCACTTACAGGTTTGGGAATATCTAGTACCAGCAGTCCTTTGACAACACCTGGTTAGTAAATATAGAATGTATCACTGCATACTATAGTTTAATTAATTAATGAAAATTGCTTGACAAAATTATACTCCTCCTCCTCCTCCTCCTCCTCCTCCTCCTTCTTCTTTTATTTGTTTGGTTCACTTTGCAGGTTTGGGAATATCTAGTACAAGCAGTGCTTCGACAACACCTGGTTAGTAAATACATATTTTATTAATTAATTATAGAAAAATTTGTACACAGTATTTGGCATGCCCAAAATATTTTACAAACTCTCCAGAACATAAATTGCTTTATAAACAATTGTCATTTTAGTTTTTGTTTTGTGAATGAAACTTTTGCTTTCCAGGTTTGAGCACATTAAATCCCTACTCTGATATCATTTAAGTTAATATATAGAATGTGACATGATAAAAAATGAACAAAAATGCATCATTAAAAATTCTGGGTATATGTATAATCAAATTATGTTTTGTCCATTTAATTTTCCCACTCAAACATTCATAGTTAATTTTTAAAAACCTGGATTCAAATGATGAGCAGTACCGTAACTTCCATCTATCTATATTTCATAAGAGAAATAACCTCAATTTTTAGCATTTTTTACTTCAAAAAGTTCATAATTGTACTTGTCTGCAATAGTGAACTAATTTCTATCTATTTTAATAATTAGAAACCATAATAATTGGTAAATATTATAATAAATAAACCTAATTTTAAATGTATATTTCAAAAAGAGTTTCAAGAATTAAAGTGTGTGTGTGTGTGTGTGTGTGTGTGTGTATTTCATTCTCTATTGGAAAGAAAACCAGTAACCAAAGAAAACATTTCCAATGGATTCATTTTCTTTCTCCAGTAGATGGCATTGTGGTTTAGTTTTCAGAAGAAGAAGAAAGAAGGAATAAATTAAATTAAATTAAATTAAATTAAATTAAGAAAATAGCCTGTTGTTAATATCAGCAAAAAATTAGCCTTGAAATTGTATAATTTTTGCCATTGGATTTAACCAAGGCTGAACTTTCTCACCATTAATAGCAGGGTTAGGTTTACAATATAATGAGAACACATCCTGTTGAAGGAAGGCATAAGTCAGCACTTTTATCTATTTATACAAATAACTTTGAACATTTACTGTGATCATTAACCTCCAACATTATTTAATATAATACTAATTCTTTATGACAGCTTACTGAATGTATTTACGGCCCCTCTTCTGCACAAAAGTCTCAATAAAAAGCCACTAAAAAGCAAGCCCATTTTTATTCTCAAGTGCAAGATAACAACAAAGGGAGAATCCAATTCATTCTAAAGCCACTTTCAAAGTTTTATTTTAGATGAGTAGCTACTGTATCTTACTTTATTGCATCAATCGTCATGGCATATTCACATCACAGAGGATATATCTATGTGAAACGTAGAACTTTTTCAGACAAATGAATTATGGAATTTTTAGTTATATGTTAAGGAGTCCCTTGAATTGACTGTTCCTGGAAATATGTCGAGAAAGTGACGTGCTTCCTGGATAGTTTTATGGTTATATTCTATGGTTGGAATAATTTCTATTTCAGGAAGCTAAATCAACGATGTATTCTATTTTATTTTCTTTTTAAAATATACTTTAGGGAAATGTTTACCTTCAGATGAACTTTGTGCTGATGGTGTAAGCTGCATCAGAAAGGAATTAATTTGTGATGGAATACCGAACTGCCCAGATGGCTCTGATGAATATGAAAAAAAATGTGGTAAGAATTCTGTAATTAGTCTTTGAATTTCCAGGGGAATATTTAATATCATGAAAGTTTAAAAATAAAAATAAAGGCAATGCAGAGTTGGGTTTTTCTTTTCTTTTGTTTTACTTCTCAGATATATATTCTTCAAGCTTGACCTTTTACCAATACTTTTCCTTCTAAGAATATTAATAAATAGTTTATTGTGGGTATATCAATACTATATGAGAGCTAGTTTGGTAAAGTGGCTAAGACATCTGTCTATAAACCAGAAAGCATGAGTTACAGTCCTACCTTAGGCACAAAGCTAGCTGGGTGATCTTGGGCCAGTCACTTTCTCTCAGCCCTATGAAGTGGCAATGGCAAACTACTTCTGAAGAACCTTGCCAAGAAAACTGGAGGGACTGGTCCAGGGAGTCACCAGAAGTCAACACTGGCTCAAAGGCACGCATGTACACACACATACACATATACACACAAAACACAAAAAATCAATACCATAAAAAATAGTTATAGCCTACAAAGGAATCTTATATTATTATGCATGTATTTAACTTTTATGCTAAACAAAATCAATATATGATGCTGGAATATGATTCTCTATTGCTTTGAATTATTCTTACGGTAATACTTAACAGTTGTGCACTGGATTTGGCTAAATCCTGAATGAAATTGGGTGACTTCTGGCTGATTTCATAGTTCCAGAAAACACCAGAAAAAGGAAACAGACTACCCATACAACATCTTGCAACAAAATGGATACCCATGCAACCTTATCAAAAAGTGCCAGACCATTCAATCCACTACAGCACAACCAACAGAAGCTATGAAAAGAATAACACTGCCATACATCAGAAACATCTCAGAAACAACCAACAGATTATTACAACAACATGGCATTTCTGTAGCACACAAACCAGCTAAAGCCCTCCAGACATCTTAAGTAAACCAAAAGGCTAGCAGAGTGCATCCATGAACACTAACTAGCAGTCAGAAGACACAAAGAAAACTCCTTAATCAGACAGTACATAGACAGACTCAACCATAGTTTCAACTGGGAAACTGTCAGCATCTTAGACCAAGGTAAATCCAAAAATTCAAGGGAATTCCTGGAAGCTTGGTATTCAGACAAGTCAGCCATCAACAGGGACATAGACATAAGCCACATTTACATAACATTAAAAAAAGACAATAAAAAACCTAAAAAGGAAACAAAAAGACCAGGACACCTCCTTGCCAGCAGCCTATACCTAGATAAACAGGGATTAACACCAGGATTAACACCAAATAAAAAATCAAGCAGTAAACATTACCCTAATCAAGGAACTACCAAAGAGAAAACAACCCCCACCAACACTGCAGGGCATGCCACTGCATGTAAACAGAGAGCAAACCCCACTCCCTTCTAGCACTGAAGATGTTATCTAGCTCAGTAACAAAATGTCTGCAAGAAAAAAAACCAAGCTCAGAGAATGCCAAGGACTCCACATAAAATATTTATTTAACCACTTTGTTAGTGACATTTAAAGCCATTCAAACAAAAGAGAGAGGGGGGAGTGTTCATTCTTCACTGGCTATCAAGTAGATAACAAGGAAACTACAATGAATATATGCAAATTGTTACCTAGTATAAAAGTTAGAGAAGATTAATACCTCACAGCTTGAAATGTAGAAACATTTTAGAGAGATACAAAGTGTTCTCTTTTCAATCTTCCAGCCATGAAATTAATTAACTCATTCACTACTAAGACTCACTGAAAAATCCAGATAGATAGAACTGAGAAAGCTAAACTTAATTAATAATCACTAGATTATTCTCATTGTATGTTTAACATGTAAAAGTCTCTGTGATACAGTCTTGATTTTTTCTAGCTAAATTAACTCAAAAGTCTCCACCAAGAATAACTTATCACTTACTTAGAGAAGCTCACTTGTATTACTAAATATATAGTTATGTTAATATCCTTATACAGAGGTTCCAATAATAATCATATGGAATCAAGATGTTAAGTTCCATTTTCCCATACCACTTGGTGTCCGCCAAGTGTGGGATGATAGATTTGTGGTGGGATAGCAATATAAAGTTTTGATCATTATTCCTAAATATTTACAGCTCTAAATAGAGAAACTGAGGGGGCTAGAAGCACTTTTGCACTCAATATGCCAGCAAGTTTGGAAAACGCAACAGTGGCCACGGAATTGGAAAAGGTCAGTTTACGTTCCAATTCCAAAGAAGGGCAATGCCAAAGAATGCTCAAACTATCGCACAATTGCACTCATTTCACATGCTAGCAAGGTTATGCTCAAAATCCTACAAGCTAGGCTTCAGCAATACATGAACCAAGAACTACCGGATGTACAAGCTGGGTTTCGAAGAGGCAGAGGAACTAGAGATCAAATCGCCAACATTCGCTGGATCATGGAGAAAGCACGAGAGTTTCAGAAAATACCTACTTCTGCTTCATTGTTATGCTCAAAATCCTACAAGCTAGGCTTCAGCAATACATGAACCAAGAACTACCGGATGTACAAGCTGGGTTTCGAAGAGGCAGAGGAACTAGAGATCAAATCGCCAACATTCGCTGGATCATGGAGAAAGCACGAGAGTTTCAGAAAATACCTACTTCTGCTTCATTGACTATGCAAAAGCCTTTGACTGTGTGGATCACAACAAACTGTGTGAATTTAAGCAAATTCTTAAAGAGATGGGAGTACCAGACCACCTTACCTGTCTCCTGAGAAAC